TTTTTTTTTTTTTTTTTTTTTTTTTTTTTTTTTTTTTTTTTTTTTTTTTTAATGTTAACAATGCACCATTCAGCCAATTGTAACTTTTTGGTCGGATCAATCAAATCAACTCGAATATTTGATGTGTTGTAAATGTTTGGTATTTCTAAAATTTTAATTATTAAAAAAAAAAACAACCCGACAACTTAACTAACCCTTGAGTTGGATTGGGTTAGGTTTGGTTTGGTTGGATTGTAAACCGTGTTCGAGCAGGTAGGTGACCGATGCTTAAGTCAACCTGAAAAGGCATTTAAAAAGAAAAGGTGTCCGCATATTAAATGTATGCCTTTTTTTATAGAAATTAGGAATATGCGGATTTTTGTCTCTTTTTAGTCGAATATTCCTATTTGTTAGGTACACATAATTTCTTTAAATGGTTTGACAATGTTTTTATTATGTGAAATAGCATTATTAGGCATTACACTTTTAATCATACATTAAATTTGGTTCACCCAAATTAATGTTTTCGTGTATTCCATACTTCCTTCCCGTGTCAATTTTCCCGGTTTATTTAGTCTAAATAATATTAAAATAATTGATATATCGAGCTATATTCATATTGACGTTTCATAATGCCTAAGTTATAACATTATTCTTAACCTTTCATAAGCGTTTCGAAACTAGAGTAGAAATTCGTAAGATGTCCACAGAATAGGATGAGGATGACGAAGCTTTCCCCGTCCCCATCCCTACGAAATTTCTAATTATTTTTGTGAGTATCAAGGTGGGAATCGAGTTCCCACAGATAATTTTTTTGGTTTATTATTTTGTTTAAAAAATTAGTTAGTTTTCATTTTTTCACTACCATCTTTATTAAGAAAAAAAGTAGCGCATATATATATATATATATATATTATGAGGGGTGTGTCAACGAGGATGTTAGATACCGCAAGGTGGATTGGGAGTCTCATATTGATTGGAGAAAGGAACGAGTGCTAACGAAGACACTAGACCCCGAAGTGGTTCAAGATCTCTTGCTTAGAGATCTGTTTACTTGTATAATCAATGGTTAGCAACGATAAAAGGTTTGATAACAATAATACACCGAGTGGTATCAATCCTTTTGCTACCCTTATTCGATTATGCTCAACATTCAACTCCTTACCTTAAATCACTCTAAAACAAACAAAACTCCCTCCATCTGTTCACGATAGAAATAAGGCTAATTTCTTTTGCACATTTATGATCTCACAATAAAATCTAGTTTAGATGACTTGCTCTTGATAACAAGCTCGACATTCCGATTTCTCGCCGTGCTAGAGGTTTTGCGTTATAAGGTCGACTGCATCATGTCAAAATAGTTAGGTAATGTTATGAACTCGTTTGGCTCATTCTAGTGTGTTGAGTAAGAGCATAGTAACTGTCACATGTTGAAATAACATCGAGTTAGGTAAAGTTATACGCTCGCTTGGCTGATTCTAGTGTGTTGAGTAAGAGCATAGCAACCGTCACCGGTCCAACTCCGCCCGGAACGGGTGTAATAGCAGAAGCTACCCTTGATGCTTCTTCATAGCAAACATCTCCAATTAGTCGATGCCCATACTCACAGCTAGGATCCTGTCAATCCATGGTGGTGAACACGTTATAAACCGATCAAATAATGCATCACAGCTAGTTTTGCTTGTTTTCTTGCAACTTCTTGGTCAAGTTTTACCTTATAACATTCGAATTTTTAGTCAAATTCCAAAAATAAAAGCACGTTTTTAAAAAACTACTTTTTATCTATTCAAAACTGGGCTTGGATTTTAAGAACATCCATGAAAAATAGATTACAAAATAAAGAAAACGAAAACTTAATTTTCAAAAACCAAAAACTAAACGGTTATGTGTTCTTACCGATCTAGTCCCCAAGGCCAAAAGAGTCGAACATAACTTTATGCATGGAAAATATGTCGAGAAATTACACATTCATCGACATGTATTTATAAAGTTATATAAGGTTGAAAGGACGAAAATCAGAACGCTTTGTAAATTCAATTCAAGGATCCATAAAAGGTAGAAAGTTGGATTAATTACCTTAACTGGGTTCGTCCCCACGTCAAGAACTACTGCACCAGGTTTGAGCCAACTACCACGAACCAGATTGGGAACACCAGCAGCAGCAACCACTATGTCAGCTTCGCGAGTAATCTGTTCAGGATTCCTAGTAAATGCATGCACAACGCTGACAATAGCATGGTGCCTCTGCAGAAAACCGAACATTTTTCAGTACCAATATAATTTTACAACAAACAAAGTGGCACAAGAAAATTTGGACATGAAAGTGAATGTGGACCTGCAATAGCAAGGACATGGGCAATCCAACAATATTACTTCTTCCAATCACCACAGCCTTCTTCCCCGAGATTTCTACACCCGATCTGATCAACAACTCGATGCAGCCTTTGGGTGTGCAGGGTAAGAAAAGTGGTTCCCTACCCCACATAGCAAGATTCCCCATGTTAATTGGATGGAAGCCGTCGACATCTTTTTCTAGGTGCACAGAGTTCAGGATTTTCCCCTCATCCAAATGCTGTTCCACAAAATTGAATTGTTAGTCTCCATCCATGTCCCAAAAGAAACCAAATGATTTCTAAATTCATGTTAAAAGCAATTCATGTTAAAAGCAAAACAGGTAACAACCCAAGCCCACCGCTAGCAGATATTGTCCTCTTTGGGCTTTCCCTTTCGGGCTTTCTCTTAAGGTTTTTAAAACGTATTTGCTAGGGAGAGGTTTCCATACCCTTATAAAGAATGTTTCGTTCTCCTTCCTAATCGACATGGAATCTCACAAAACATGTCGCCTGCAGAAACTACCATGCCAGACAACAATTACCAAATCAGGATTTGCAAAACATCTTTGTTTGATTTATATTGTGAAGTACTTTATAGACATAAAGAACCATCTCATATCTGGAACAGCTGTATGGTAGACAATAAAAGCCGCATGGAGATGATAATAGATGAAAAATACTTCCTCAAAACCCGGAAACCAAGGAAGATAAGCATCACAATCATGTTGGTGGTATTTAGATTGAAACGTGCAAAATTAAATATAATCATGATCCAGTTTTAGAAATTACTTGCGGTAGAGGAAGCTGCACGAGTATACCATGAATAGATGGATCTTCATGAAAACATGATAAAGCATTCAGAACTTGATCTTCTGTACAGTTTTCAGGCAAAGTAGAAATCTTCGACTGGATTCCAGCTTCTTCACATGCACCCAGTTTCTTGCGAACATAAGTCTGCGAGTCCCTGCCTTGGCCGACCATGATTAAAGCCAAGCCAGGAACGTTTCCAGTAGAGTTCTTCATCCTCCTCACCTCACTAGTTATTCCTGATGTAATTTCCTCAGCAATCGCCCTACCATCAATTACTGTTGCAGTCTGCGGGGTATCTGCAAGTAACGTTAGATCATCAGATACCAAGCACACCCAGATAAGAAAGTATTCAATGAACACAATAATATAATAAACCTATACGGTGACACTATCTGGATTTGAACTGGGGAAAAAGGAGATGACATGTGAGGAGGGTTGAAGCGAAATGGTGATGTACCATACGATGTTGTGATGAAAGAATAATCAGGAAAGCTGGAACTAGTCCAAATATCAGGAAAATCAATGGATTTGAGAGGTGGAGACACTAAAATCTGGCGGGCATCTGTTGTGATTCTTCTTTTCATAGCTGCAGATGTAAGTAGGACTCTCCTACTCAGACTCTTGTACAACAACGTCATGTGCACACAATGATCACTGTTACAATTGAAGATAGTTAGCAATATCATTGTTAGTTACAACAAAAATAACTGCAGCTTTTGGTTTACAACTTGTATTAGTTGATATGTAAAACAGCTAGGAAGGTGATGATCATTTCCGATTAAACCTTTAATGATAGAAATTCTACAGTTGAGAAGTAGAACTCAGCTTCTCCAATGGTCCAATGGTGCCATCAAGCATCAATTCGTTAGCAGATCAAATTGCAGTTATAGCTAATGCAATTTCATTTATATATAATTTCTAAGTATTAAACTTTACCGGAATGATGATATATCACAAATTGTCTAGTAGTATTTGGAATTTGGAGATAGCCAGCCAAGTGGCATAGCTTGGATTTTGGAGGATCATTTTGCACCCCCTCACCCAACACTTTATGCACTCCGCTACTTACTCATTTTCTATACAACACTGCCTTTCTTTATATTGATCAATATGCTTAAGGTTGACAGTACTTTGGAAACGCTAAATAGAATGACCAAGAACTTATAGTGGCCTTCACATGTCCTAAAAGGCAGCTTCATAACTTGGCACCCTCATTAAATTATGAACCTATCCGCTAAAAATTTTGGGTTTAGTGGTCATCATATTACCTTTTATTATGCAGGTGAATTTTCTTATGGGAGTAACAACTTGCGCTCGGCAATTTTGTTTTTTGTCCTTTCCTTTTTTTTAATAAGAAACTGAGCTTTCATGAAGAAAGATGAAAGAAATATAAGGGCATAAAAAGAAAAAAAACAGCCCACCAAAAATACAAGTATGCAAAAAGGATATGAAAACTAACTACAAAATGGTCCTCCAATTTAACAAAATCAAATCAAGATCAAAATTACAAAAGAGTCTACTAAATGGAGAGACATTATACCTATCCCTCTTCTAGACATCCTCACACGATCTCTCCACCTCTCTAAAAACCTTGTTCTTTCTCTCAATCCAAATACCCCAATCAACAGCAAAAGAACTAGCTTGCCACTAACACTTTGTCTTTCTTGCAAAAAGACGAACTCAAGAGCACCTCCTCAATCATAGAATATCAATCTCTCCTCCACGTCAAATGTAAACCAACATAGCTCAATCATCTAATTCAGATCAACTGCACAAAATGGCAGTAAGTGGTGAAGGTTCTCCTCCTAGTGTTTGCAAAGAATGCACTAATGCGGGTCATCACCAAGGAAGAGTGACGTTGATCTGATCTATAGTGTTAACCATACAATGTAATACAATGCCACACAAAAAAATTGACGTTCTTTGGAATTTTACTCTTCCAGATAGCAGCAAACGTTGATGCAACGTGGTTAGAGAAAGGAGTGTTCAGGCAAAGTTGGCCCAAACAAAGTTGCAGCCCATTCCAATATGCTACAGAATCATCCCCCCCCCCCCCCCCCCCCCCCCCCCCCCCCCCCCCCCCCCCCCCCCCCCCCCCCCCCCCCCCCCCCCCCCCCCCCCCCCCCCCCCCCCCCCCCCCCCCCCCCCCCCCCCCCCCCCCCCCCCCCC